GCATTAATTTACATTCATCCCTGGTATGTTGAACACAAACATTACTGCTCAAATCAGTCAGTATTAACTTCAGTAATGCAGCGATTCTCACACCCTTTTTGGTTAAAGGACCTTTTTTCAAAAGTATGAGCAATCACTGATACTGCCAACTAAATAAATGCAATAAAGTGCATCAGTGTGCCCTTAAGAGGACTTGCATGAACACGTGTAATGGTGTCTGATATAATGAACATCAATATGTTTGGTAATGTGAAACCTTCTCTCCTATTCAGGTGAAATTGAACCCGACAGGTAGAGTAACTTCCTCGTTGAATATTTTGCTGCACGGTATCTCCTTGCTCCTGTTGAAGTGGGATTTGGATCAATAGCTCTTATTGTGAACATGGATCCTATTTTAGGGGTAATTCTCCATTGCTGCCTGCCTGTTGATCATTCTTTCTGTTTGTTTACTGGCCTGTTCCTATCTCCTGTGCAAGCTTCAATGGTTTCTCTCTCCATCCTAACAGTAACTACACCTGAGTGCATACAACAATGCCAACTCAGTGTACATTGTATAAATGCATTTATAGAGTCATTCAGCACAGAAACAGACCCTTCATTCCAACCAGTCGATGCCAAACATAATCCCAAACTAAACTAGTCCCACTTGCCTACTCCTGACCCATATCCCTCCAAACCTTTCCTGTTCCTGTACTTATCTAAAGTATGCTAATGGATTTTTCTGATCCTATAGATTTATATTGAGTTATAAGTTTCCATATCTTTTCTTGTGAACTTGGTTCTTTGTTCTGTGGTGTAACCAGTAACACATTCTCCTTTTGCTTTCCTTCCTCTTTTGAGCGTATTCGCATAACACACTTTGAGATTTCTTTTTATCTGGCATTCTTATCAAATAATTCACCTCACACAATCTCCATTCGAATTGACAAGGTCCCACTAAACCTTGCCTTAAAATGTTCACCTATCACTGGAAGTAACAATAATACTATCTCCACTGGCAAAATTATGAACTTTTGATTTCTTCTTTGCTTCCTGTTTCATCGCATGCTGGGCTACTTTTAAATGCTCTCTCGCCAACTCACCCGCTCGATTTAACGTTTGTCTAAAATTTGAGACACAGTTCAAATATGTGGTCTCTGAACTCTGCCTCACTAATTTCTCCTTAATTAATTCCAATGGTCCTTTGGCCTCATGCCCAAAAACTAATTCAAATGGACTGAATTTGATAGATTCTTTTGCTGCATCCCTAATTGCAAAAAAAGGTACAAACGGAATTCTTTTATCCCAATCCTCTGGCTAGTCTTGACTATAAGCCCTCAACATGGTCTTTAAAGTTTGATGTCACCGTTCTAATGCTCCCTGTGATTCTGGATGTTCACCTGGATTCTGGATGGTACGTTGTGGACTTGAATTGTTTTATTCCTAAGCTATCCATAACTTGCCTGAATAATTTTGATATAAAATTTGACCCTTGATCTGACGGTGTCTCTGTGGGTAGTCCATATCTCGTGAAAAGTTTGAATAACTCCTCTACAATCCTTTTAGCTGTGATACTGCGTAATGGAAAGGCCTCTGGAAATCTAGTGGACAAATCCATTATTGTGAACAAATACTGATTCACGCTTTTTGTTTTTGGTAGGGGCTGTATGCAATCAAATAAGACCCTTGTAGAAGGTTCCTCAAATGCAGGAATGGGTACTAAAAGTGCTCGATTTATCTCTACCTGAGGTTTTCCAATTACCTGACATGTATGACATGTCTGCCAGAATGTAAATGCATCCTTATGCAGTCCAGGCCAGTAAAATGCTTTTGTATTTTGGCTTGAGTTTTCCATACTTCCAAGTGACCTCCTAATGGTAATTCATGTGCCACCTCCTTTCTATATTCCACTGGTAATAGAACTTGATGAACTTCTGCCCATTTCTCATCCACCATATGATGGTTTCCATTTCCTCATCAAAACGTCACTTTTAAGATAGTAACATTCTGGGATACATTCAGCTTGTCCTTCTGTGTATGCTTTTGAGACAACTGCTTCAGTTTTTCATCTTTCTGTTGTAACTCAGTTAATTTCTCTGAACTAAAAGTATTCTCTTTCTCCTCCACCTGTTCTTGTTTTTTCTTGACTATTTCATCAAACATGGTTTCTGATAATTGTACTTCAACTTTCTTACCTTTATTCTTTGATTTCTCCTCCTGCTTCAAATTGTGGCTTTGTGACCTTGTTATCGCACAGTCAGGAAAAATCCCCAAGATCCCTGGAAAGCTGCTGTGTATGCATGTGTAAGGACAGAATCCTACTCAGTACTGGTGAATCTCTGACAGGTGAGGCATATGCCATACCCAAACTGACAAGATGGATATTCACCCTAATGGCCCAGTCTTCACTGATGGACTTACACTTAGTTCCACATACCAGGGAACACGGCATTATTCAGCCATCTGTTTTCTGGCAATAATCCTTCTGAATTATATATATCCTCATCTCTCAATATCAAAGATTGACACACTCCCATATCTCTTAACAAGTGTAATTTCTTTTCCTGCTCCTCCTGGCATATGCGAGTAAATCTGAGCTTCGCAAGTAAATGGTTTAAGAAGATCTGGCATTTTCTTTTCAAATAACCCCTGACCAGGTTGTACATTATGGTGCAGCTTTTTACCTTTCATTATGCTTTCCCTTACCACTTCAACAAAACTCACTGGCTAATCCTGTTTTCCCACATCCGTGTTCCCAGTGCTTTTTCTAAACCAACACTGCAACATTACGTGGCCTACCTTATTACAGCGGAAACACCTGAGCTTTTTTACTTCTCTTTTCCCTCATGGGTTTCCTTTTTACCCTGTGGTAAACTATCTTCAATGAGATCTCCTTTTCCCTTACCACCTGAGGATTTCTTTCTTTCCCAGTTTCTATCCCTCATAGATTGAAATTAATGTCGGAAGCCAAACTTTAATTTATGAACCGATTCATAATTATTGGCCATTTCAGCTGCTAATCTTACAGTTTTAATTTTCTGTCTTCCACGTGAGTTTTCACGACTTCAGGAAGTGAATTTTTGAACTCCTCCAAGATAATCGTCTCTCTAAGAGCATATTTTGTTTGATCTATTTTGAGTGTCCTTATCCACCTATCAAAATTACTTTGATCCTTTCAAACTGTATGTATGTTTGAACAAGATCCCTCCTTAGATTCCTGAAACCTTGTCTGTAGGTTTCTGGCACTAGCTCACATGTACTTAAGATGGCTTTCTTCACCTCTTCATATTTCCTAGATACCTCCTCTGATAGTGATGCAAATTCCTCACTAGTTCTACCTACCAACTATGCTTGAATCAACAAGACCCACACGGTCACCACATACTTCATTTGTTTATCCACTTTCTCCAATGAAATGAAAAAGGCTTCTATATCCTTCAAGTGAACTTAGGCAATGCTTGGATACATTTAAACAGATCCCCATCAGGCCTTTGCCTACAATGGGTTTGTTCGTCATCACTATCTTGCTCATTAAGCCTACCTTCTGTCTTCACCTCTGCCCTTTTAAGTCAACTTTCCTCTCTAATTGCCAACTTCTGAAGTTCAAACTCTCTGCTTTTCATCTGCTTGGACCTTCCTCTCCTTTCCTCTTTTTCCTCCGCATTTAATCGTAATTCAAACTGTTCCATTTCCTTCTCACGTTCAAGCTGCTTCATCTGCAATTGAGTTCCAGCTATTTCCAAAGATTCCAATGGCATTTCCAGCAAATTTAAATGTCAAGCTACTGCTGCAATTGCCTCCCTGTTTCTGTTGCAGACCCAGGCAACCCTAACTCTGGCTTGTCTGCCAATTCCAACAGCTTTGTTTTGCTTACTTTTTGTAAAACTCCCGAAGTCACTTCTTCCACTCCCAGAAATCTCCGAGTGACTGAAAGAGCCATTACTACACAAGGCACACCCTTAAACCAACCAAATTCAACACCCGAAACAAAAGACACTAACACCTACCCCTCGCTGCCTTTGAGCCCAACAGTCCTAAACCCAAATTGGAATGAGAGATTTCGGTCCCGACAAGAGTCCTCAATTTGTTATAGACCAGACCAGACTCCCCTCAAAATATTTTAAGAAGGTAGACCAGACCCAAACTTTTTCTTATTTTAAAGGAAGATGTGAAATGGGTGCTTTCGATGTGATGCGACTGGTCAAACCACTTGATGTTAAGCAAGACACAATTTATTTGAACACTACAGTTAAATTTCAAACAAAAGAGAGAGAAATTTAGAATAACAACTATTGGAACACTTAACCGAATAATAGATACAGTACCTATGACTAATTAACTGTTCCTATAATCACATCCCTTGGCAAAAAGGCAAACTCAGGCAGTTTCTTATATGAAATTCTCCAATCCAGGAGGAAAAAACATCAAGAAAAAATTAAGAGTGTGTAACAAACAAGAGACATTCACTGAAGCTTCCAATTTATGTTCTATTTATTCATGGGACGAGGGTATTGTTGGCTAGGCCAGCATTCATTGCCCGTCCTTAACTGCCCAGAAGGCAGTTAAGAGTCAACCACATTGCTGTGGGTCTGAAGTCACATACAGGCCAGACCTGATGGCAATTTCCTTTCCTAAAGGTCATTAGCAAACCAGGTGGGTTTTGCCAACAATTGACAATGGATTCATGGTCATCGTTAGATTTTTAATTTCAGATATTTACTGAATTCAAATTCCACCATCTCTCTTGGTGGGATTGGAACCCAGGTCCCCAGACAATTAACTGGGTCTTTTGATTGACAGTCCAGCGATGATACCACTAGGTCATTCCCTCCGCAAACAGCTTCCAACTGCTGAAAAAAAAAACCCAGAAATCCTGATCCATGAGAGATGGCCACACCCATTCAAGCTGTTTAAAAAACCTAAGGCCTCATAAGTTGTTTACTGAAGTGGTTCTGGTAGAATGCTTGGTGCGTCTGCCTTACAACCTCTCTTCAAAATAAAACAATCAGGAGAAAACAACCTTTCAAAGTGACACCATCATCGCGCAGATAATTTATTCCTTTGAATCAGCATTTACCCGTGGCACAAATTTCAGGATTATCGGCTTTTTAGGCTGCATAACTCCAGTCACATCTAGTTCTAATGGAATCTGTAATAGAGAAAGCAAAGTTAATACTTGGCCAACAGATAAAATTTGTGTAACATGGCTTTAAGTAGATACATAGTTTCCTCTTTCACCAAGCAGGGGAGGTAGATAATACCGAAGACCCTTTCTCTGAATGAAGGGGTGTCTTTGTCAAGTGGTGGGAGGGAGAGTCAAAAATGATTCTGCAACCAAGATGTGAGCTACTGGCTTAGTCCAACGTAAATTCTATTTTCCTGTTTGTTGTCTTAATTTCACAAAGCTTTAAAAATCCAGCAGCAGTGGAACAATGAACCCCTGCTTCATGATCTCTGTGCCACCTGTGTGCCTAAATCACCCATTACAGTAGTTTACAGCAATAATGTTTCTGTCCATTATATTATTCCCATTCCTCAATATTCACTGAAATGAAATGATTAAATTCTCACCAGTGTCTCTTTACAAGTCACAATGGTCATGTGTTGTAAGACAGAAGTGAGTGCCATCTTCATTGCCAGTTGAGCAAATCGCATCCCAATGCAGTTCCGAGGGCCGACTCCAAATGGTAGGAAGGTGTAAGGATCCTGAGACTCCTTATTCTCTTCACTGAACCTAATTATATTGACAGAGACAAAACAAGTGAACCATATCATTGCAAAATTTTCTAACTGGATAGATAGAGAAGACCACAGTTTGAAACAATGGTCTTATTCAGTGACTCCTTCACTTACTGATGTTTCAAGTTAGCGTTTCACAGGCACTGAGTGGCAGTCGTGATGTGTAATTCAAGACTATTGGATGTAGTCAGACTAATTGACTGTGGAGAACATCGAGCTGTGAACAGATCTATTCAGAATGGTGCTACATGTCAGTGAACACTTTGGTACAAAGTCTCTGAGATTGGCAGTACTGTAACTTTTGTCAAAGACATGCTATTAGGGGTTGAAATAATGAGCTGAAATAATGAGCCGAAACTAAAGCTCTCTCCTTTTGAACACTGCATCGATTTCCAGGTGATACTAATTTTCAATCAAAATACATCCCTGGTCCAGTGCATTAATTTTCAACATCATCCGCTTCCATGAGAAATCAAGAAGCATCTAAGGGACTCTTGGAAAAGATGATTTGAAATGAAGGTGGTCTGTAGGAATTCAAATACAACCACTGGTCAGAAGATAGGTGCAAATGAGCACACATTTGTTTGGCCCAACCCAATTCACCGACTCAGGATATTAAAGTACTTCCCATTTAGATCACAGAAGAGGAATAGTAACACTGATACTAGATCACCAGGATATTGCTCCAGAGAAGCAAGTTCAGATCCCAGCATGGCAACTGGGGAATTTAAATCAATGAATAGATAGAGAATAAAAAGGTTATTCTCCATAATGATCATGGAAGCACGATATTGCTCAACAGATTTTTTTATGACAATGTTCATCAGGGAATAAAGATCTGCAGTTGTTTCCTAGTTTGGCCTCATGTTACATGATGGATGTAGCTGTTCAAAAAGTGGGTCACCTATCTCACTGTGTTTTAGCCATGGTTTGTGTTTATACTATCATTACAAAACATTGGCATCTCAAGCTACCTAAGCTATCACAACTGGCTCCCTCTAGGTGTGTATGTAGTTTTTCTTAAGCAGGAGAAATATACAATTTCCAACAACGGAAAAGACTTTTGTATGCTAAGACAAATGAGCAACCAGACGACAGATCTAGTGAAACAATATCCAAAAATCCTGGATAATTGAGCTTCTAATGTACTTTACAGCAACGTCCGGAGTGTGTTGTCCTCTCATTGCAGTGTAAGGTCAGTCGCAGAATGGTGATAGTGCTTTTACACGAAGTCTCATTGGAAAATAATTAACAAAATCATTACTGGGGGTGTATGTTCCTGACCACTTTACTTGCTAGTAAGCTGGTGTGTATGCATGTATAAGGACAGAATCCTGCTCAATACTGGTGGATCTCTGACAGATGAGGCATATGCCATACCCAAACTGACAAGATGGATATTCACCCTCATGACCAGGTCTTCATTGACAGACTTGCACTTAGTTCCACAGACCAGGGCACACGGCATTAATCAGCCCTCTGTTTTCTGGCAGTTTCACAATGAGATGACAAACAAATTCTAAAGTGCATCAGAAGCTGCTGGACCATCAAAATTCAAAAGCTTTGCGATTCCTTGGGTTATGCAGGAGAGGTGAAAATGCAAATCATTTCCACATACCTTTCAGGTCTAAACTCTTCAGGCTCTGGCCAGTATTCTGGATCACGGTGCAGCACGTAGGCAGGAACCATGACGATAGTCCCCTTTGGAATGGTTACCCCATTAAGCTGTACATCTTTCTTGCACACTCTGTCAATGCGGGGGACAGGGGGGAACATTCGTAGGGTTTCCGATATCACCATTTCCATATATTCCAACTGCATCACTCCATCATATGTGGGAGGAGCCTTCACACGGTAAAAAAAATCTTAAACAATCAACAAGAAGCTTTTTTTTGATCTTTCATAGGATGTGGGTATTTAAAGGCCAGAATTTGTTGCCCATTCGACTGCTGTTGAACTGAATGGCTGACAGAACCATTTCAGAGGGCAGTTGAGAGTCATCCACATTATGGTTGATGTGGAATCCAATGTAGCACAGAGCAAATAAGAATGGCAAAATTTCTTTCCGTAAGGGACATGAGTGAACCAAGTATTTTTTGTACTGATGATAGTTGCTGTTGCAGAGGTTAGTTTTATATTCCAGAATGATTAGTCATATCTAAATTACACCAGTTGCCTCTGTGGGAATTGTATCAATACCCCTGGAAGATTAAGTCTCTGCATCGTTAGTTTAATGGCAATGCCACTGTTTCCTCTAAATGATGAGCAGTGCTGTCCAAAAAATTAAAACATTTAGTCACTGAGCAAGACAAATATTTGATCATTTGAAATCAGTGGAAAAGGTTACCCACTTGAGGGAGACCATAAGTACAGGATGATAAGTACAAGATAGTCACTAACAAATCCAATTGGGAATTCAGAACAAACACCTTTCCTCAGTAGTTGTAACTATGCTCAGACTCAGCTGGGTAGCCCTGTCTCCTAGTAACCACCTGTGTAAGGCATCCAGCCCCTGAAATTAAAAGAAGAACATGAGAATTTAAGGATATAGGCATTCGGGTACCTACAATGTGGTACTGGTTCCTTGTAAATTGATGGTTATTGATGAAGTCAGTTATGTTATGATGTGGCACTCTCAACACAATGAATGCAGCGCCTTGCACCTGGGGGTAGCCAGCAATGTTGGCAAAGCCTACAGCCCAGGCTGCAACACTGACCTCTTCATGGAGAAAATGTGAAGCAGTATGACCTGTTCCTCACTAACAGCTTTGACGCACCTGTGGGTGGAGCAGTGAGAGATTTGAGAAAGATCCAAGCGGATCCTTGGAAGCAACCAGTTGCACAAAAAAAAACTGATGGCCATTGTGACAGAATCTTCACCCAACCCTTTGGTTTCAAAGTGATGCTCTGCTGATGACAGTTCTGTGACCCTGGGACATTCGCAGTCTGCAGTAGCAATGTGCTTCACTCATCTGGAGGAACTGACATTGGGGATAAGCAGAGTCTCTTTTACCTCCTCTGACGCCTGAGGGGACCTTCAGCTGTGACCTCTTCACTGGGAGGTTACAGCTGGTGCTGGGCTCACTGGCAAAGCTCTTGGAGGCCCACAGCAACAAGTAGTGAGCTGGTGACATCAAGTACCTCCTCAGACTTTCCATGATGGGAATTGTTGCTGTGTAGTTTCTGTCTGCAGTGTGGGAGATTAGTAACGAATTGCATATGAATGAGGTGGAACGAGGTAATAACGTGACATGGTTTTTGTAAATTAATGACTATCAATGAAGTCAGTTACAGTTGAATGCAAATAGATCTCCTCACTGCTCATTGAGTGAGATACTCATCTTGCGGTTCAAAGCTTTGGCGGAAAGCTGGACATTTACACCACCTCCACCCCCGTCCCCGCCCCCCAACTGAAGAATCTTATTTCTGACTTGTCGTTGCCTGTGTTGTTCAGAAGCTGGAAAAATTTTAGTCCCACATGTCAGGCTTTTGAACAGCAAGGTACTTCTCACTAATATCTGACTGTTAACTCTCTTTGTCCAAACTGGCTGCCACATTTTATATCACAACAGTCACTACAATTCATAAATTTGCTGTAAAATGGACAGAGTATGTCTCGAGGGCAAGAAAGTTCCTCTGGAAATTCAAGTTCTTTCATGTCCTTTCTCAGGCACTCACCTTGTTTGGGAAAGTCTCATCTATTTCCTGTTGCAGTTTCTTCTGCACATCCGGGTGCATCGCCAGATTATATGCAGCAAACGCCAATGTATTACCACTGGTTTCATACCCAGCAAAGATGAAGGTCAAAGCCTGTGCCAAAATCTCTGTGTCAGTCAGAACTGCAAAGAGTCAGAACCAGAAACTATCAAAAACTCCACCTTACAATTGATCAAGCGCAAATGTTGCATTTTCAATACAAATATTTTAAGAGCTTTTAGTGTTGAATCAGGTACAAGAACAATAATGGGTTTAGATTTCCCCGCACTATCCAGCAACCACTCTCAGGGCCATGATTGTATGGAATCACTGACTGGGCAACTCCCATTGTGGTAACAAGCAACAAATCCCAGCAAGAGTTAGAAGATCCTTGATGCCAGACTAATTTTTTTCTCCCTAAGTGACAGATGTTAACCTGATTGGCCTAAAATTGTTTCTCTTGTCTCCATTCCTTTTTGAATAACGGGGTAAACCTAAAAGGAGGAAATTAAAAACATATGGCTTCAAAAGGGGCTGACTCAGAACCTTAGCATATTTAAAGGGGCTGGGAACGGGTGTTTGAACAGTCAGTCAGGCAGTAAAATGAGGACACCAGAGAATGATAAACAAACAAAAAAGAAGAAAAAGAAACTAAAAATGAAGCATTGTTTCTGTTCCTGAAATGAATGACAAAGGGAATGAGAAGCTTTTTACTGACGATACCTTTGTCTGTTGACTTGCTGTCAGCGTTCTGCTTCTCAGTCACCTGAGAATCAACCATCAGCTGCAGAAAATCCACCCGATCCTGAGAATGAAACAATGCGAGGGCTCAGTACAGGGTTAGGTTCCTGAGGAGTAACTTCCTAGTCTCTGAGATTGGATATGAATGTAAGACCACAAAACATTGGAGCAGAAGTAGGCCACTAGGCTGAGCAAGTCAGCTGTATCATGCAAGGAGATCATGGCTGACCTGATCATTTCCAATGTCTCTTTGCTGCCTTTCTTCCCTTCACTCTCAATTACCTGACTTAACAAAAATCTCTCTCAGCCTTGAACATTCTTAATGACCCAGCCTGAACAGCCCTCTGTGGGGGAAAAAGTCCACAGATTCACAACCTTCAAAAAAATTCCTTCACATCTCTGGGCAGATGATTCCTTAAAGAATACACCCTCTGGGCCTAGACTGTCCACAAGGTGGTGGGGGGGGCCCACTGTTTCTATAGCATTATTTTCTACAATGCAATATTATGTTGGAACACAACTATCATGTTATAGCAGAACCCCCTGTAGTTATAAATTGTTTCTTTGGTATTCCGTGTTTACTGTTGACATACACTTTATTTTCCCTCTAAGGCTAAAACCTCTTATCCCTGACTTTTGTTCCACCCATGTCAATGACTGTACAACAAGTTACTGGGAAAAGTTGGAATTGATTTTAAACTCTTGATCCTCAATTAGTTTAAACAACTTTCCTCTGCAATAAGCTCAATTGGCAAAGAAATTCCAGCTCATCTGCTGCACAATCACGGACGCTGAACCAAACCCTTAATTAGCTACAAATCTGCTGTAAATTCAGCCCCAGCTGGATGACATTCCGCTAAGCTCAAAGTATTTGCAAAAATATATTTGTCTTACAACAGTCAATATGGTTCAGTAACTAAATAAATTCTCCTATTGCTCTGGACGTTGATCACAGCAAAGTCCAGACAGGTAGTGACCTAGGGCACTGAACGGCAAAGAGATTCCACACTACAGCTGTTGTCATAAAACCAATCAGGAAAGGAGGTGGAGTATTGGAGGCCATCACTTAAATGCAGAAGAACAATAAGATGTGTAATCAAATTAATATACCCAATAAGTAAAGGTCAGACCATTTCACTCATCCAGAGGAGACTGATAAAGTCAGTTCTGGTCCTGTTCCTCTCAGAGGTATATTCACAGGTGACCGAGGAATTTCTTTTTACTCCTGGTTTGCTAATTCTGAAGAAAATACACAGCCTTTACCCTGTGAGGTAGAAATTCCAGGCATTTGCTCTCCAGCACGAACCTTGACAGAAGTCCAACAGAAAGATCAAAAGCTGCATTGTCACCCTGATTTACATTTTACATTGGGACGGTAGAGAACCTGGACAGCAATCCCAGGTGTGGGACTGCAGGGCTGTCTGCTATCAGACTGAACACCAACTACCTGCTGAACATCAGCAACTGCCAAAGAACACACTATTCCTCAGGTATCCATCCCCACTGATTACTGCCACATTCCTTTTAGATATAAAATTAAGGCAGAGAGGGTCAGTATTGACAGTGGTGAAACATGCTGGAACTTGAACCATTTCAATGATGAGTTTAACACTCACAGTGTGCACTCCTTTTTGTCTCTTTGCCTTCAAATCCATCACGATTTTCATGAAAAAATCACTTGCATCTCTTGGGAAGGTGCTGACACCCATTGTTTCCAGAATTGGAATAACAGAAGGAAAGATAACTGGAATTTAAGAGGCAAAATCATACAGATGGTTCATAACACCAGTTGCACGGGTTTACAAAAGAGGATACGAGAGACAGGGAAGAAAGAGAGGGTGAGTGCAGAGAGAGCTCGGGAGTTTGAAAGGAAAGGAGGGGTAGAGAGAGTGGGAGAGAGGAAAAAGTGAAAGCATGGAGAGCAGATGGGAAAGAGAGAGGGGGTGGGGCAGAGGGAAAGAGGTCAAAAGGGAGAAAAAGAATGTGGTGTAAAGTCAACTTTCAATTACAGAATAATTGGCAGCAACATCAAATGTCTTTGAAATTAAACACAGGAAATATAGTGTTATAAAGGAGATGTCGAACCCCTCTGATAACTAACATTGAAAGACAAGCCCCCAATCTGCTATGGCGGGAGTAGATATCCCCTTCGAATAATTAAACCTGAAACACCCAGAGAAGCTCAGCTCACCTCACCTCACCTCACCACACCTAATCTGTTGAACTGTGAAGGAGAAGGGGAGGTTAAACGAAAGAAAATCCCTGATCAACTTCATAAATAACAAGTAACTATTTATTTATTTAACCCTAACAATGAACAAATCAAAACAATTTCCGCCTTAGGTCTAACTATTCCCTGACTGAACTAAATTCTGCTGGAATTCTGTTCAAATAAACATAAATCCCACTTATATAAACCCAATTAATAAGACAACAATAAATTAAAGCTTAATCTCTCCAAGATCACAGAGATTGTGTCTTCTGGCACTCTGCCTTCTCCAGTCTTTATTCTGCCGATCTCAAGTCACAAATGTCTTCCTTCCGCTGATTCTGCTGTCAGGGATATTTTCTCTGTGAAGGCTCTTAGGTGGAAGTGCCGTGGTACCTTTGATCAATTAGATGGTGCTTTCTCGGACAGCAAAAAGGTGTTGTCTCTTGGCAGCTGGCAACTGGCTCTGTCTGATTTTCCAAATGCCCTCATCGTTATACCCTGGATAACCTATTAATTTCTTTACAATCAGATTGGTTCTAAGTTGTCAACACCATCAGATTTAAATGTGATTGTTTTTAGGATCTAGGGGCTTGGTTTAAATTGATTGGCTCAAGTTGAAAAGACTTGTTTTCTTGGTAAAAATGCTGCTTGGCTGTTCAATTAAAAATGTTCCCATTCGGGTACTAACTGTGTGCACCTGCACTTCAAGCTGCTGGTCAGACATCCACTTTAACTGTAAGCACTGGAGAAACACTATCTTTTAAAGGGACGATGCAATGCTTTCCTCCACTTTACGATTTTACACATACCAACTTCGAAACAACAGCAATCAACTTTCACACAGGAATAAACTAATAATGAACAGAAACTGTTTCAGATGCTGTTTGAGGAATAAAGTATTGGCACAAAACTGAAAACTCACCCTGTACAAAATTAGAACATAGAACATTACAGCGCAGTACAGGCCCTTCGGCCCTCGATGTTGCGCCGACCTGTGAAACCAATCTGAAGCCCATCTAACCTAAACTATTCCATTATCATCCATATGTTTATCCAATGACCATTTAAATGTCCTTAAAGTTGGCGAGTCTACTACTTTTGCAGGCAGGGCATTCCATGCCCTTACTACTCTCTGAGTAAAGAACCTACCTCTGACATCTGTCCTATATCTATCACCCCTCAATTTAAAGCAATGTCCCCTCGTGCTAACCACCACCATCCAAGGAAAAAGGCTCCCACTGTCCACCCTATCTAATTCTCTGATCATCTTGTATGTCTCTATTAAGTCACCTCTTAATCTTCTCTCTAACGAAAACAGCCTCAAGTCCCTCAGCCTTTCCTCATAAGACCTTCCCTCCATACCAGGCAACATCCTGGTAAATCTCCTCTGCACCCTTTCCAATGCTTCCACATCCTTCCTATAATGCGGTGACCAGAACTGTACGCAATACTCCAAGTGCGGCCGCACCAGAGTTTTGTACAGCTGCAACATGACCTCATGGCTCCAAAACTCAATCCCTCTACCAATAAAACCTAACACACCGTATGCCTTCTTAACAACCCTATCAACCTGGGTGGCAACTTTCAGGGATCTATGCACATGGACACCGAGATCTCTCTGCTCATCCACACTACCAAGAATCTTACCATTAGCCCAGTACTCTGTATTCCTGTTACTCCTTCCAAAGTGAATCACCTCACACTTTTCTGCATTAAACTCCATTTGCCACCTCTCAGTCCAGCTCTGCAGCTTATCTATGTCCCTCTGTAACCTGCAACATCCTTCTGCACTATCCACAACTTCACCGACTTTGGTGTCATCCGCAAATTTACTAACCCATCCTTCTACGCCCTCATCCAGGTCGTTTATAAAAATGACAAACAGCAGTGGCCCCAAAACAGATCCTTGAGGTACACCACTAGTAACTGAACTCCAGGATGAACATTTCCCATCAACCACCACCCTCTGTCTTCTTACAGCTAGCCAATTTCTGATGCAAACCGCTAAATCACCCTCAATCCCATGCCTCTGTATTTTCTGCAATAGCCTACCATGGGGAACCTTATCAAACGCTTTACTGAAATCCATATACACCACATCAACTGCTTTACCCTCATCCACCTGTTTGGTCACCTTCTCAAAGAACTCAATAAGGTTTGTGAGGCACGACCTACCCTTCACAAAACCGTGTTGACTATCCCTAATCAAATTATTCCTTTCTAGATGATTATAAATCCTATCTCTTATAATCCTTTCCAACACTTTATCCACAACCGAAGTAAGGCTCACTGGTCTATAATTACCAGGGTTGTCTCTTCTCCCCTTCTTGAACAAGGGGACAACATTTGCTAGTCTCCAGTCTTCTGGCACTATTCCTGAAGACAATGACGACATAATCAAAGCCAAAGGCTCTGCAATCTCCTCTCTAGCTTCCCAGAAAATCCTAGGATAAATCCCATCCGGCCCAGGGGACTTATCTATTTTTACACCTTCCAGAATTGCTAACACCTCCTCCTTGTGAACCTCAATCCCGTCTAGTCTAATAGCCTGTATCTCAGTATTCTCATCGACAACATTGTCTTTTTCCTGTGTGAATACTGACGAAAAATATGCATTTAGGCCTCTCCTATCTCTTCAGACTCCACGCACAACTTCCCACTACTGTCCTTGACTGGTCCTAATCTTACTCTAGTCATTCTTTTATTCCTGACATACCTATAGAAAGCTTTAGGGTTTTCCTTGATCCTACCTGCAAAAGACTTCTCAGGTCCCCTCCTGGCTCTTCTTAGCTCTCTCTTTAGGTCCTTCCTGGCTAACTTGTAACTCTCAAGTGCCCTAACTGAGCCAATTGATATTTTAATACCCATCTGACAGTAAAGTTAACATCTCTTCCAGGATTGTACCTCTTGATAGCACCGTGCTAATGTGCTCTGCACTGATAACTAATTGGATTGTGTGTTCAGACTCTGGAGTGGGGTTTGAATCCATCATCTCCTAAGTCAGGAGTAAACATAAAACCCCTTGAAACAACTCCACAGAGGCCAGTATCCCGTCACCAAGTCAGCATTTACTTGCACTTTATTGTAAAGTCCTTGACACTGATCCATCTCTCTGAGTGACAGGATGTCTGAGACTCCTGTTCTTATCTGTCAGCTGGGGCTCCCTGATTGGGGCACCAAGATGTCCCTGTAATTAGTTTGAAGAAACTGTGGAGAAAAGGCTCCCTGATTGGGCTGTTAAATTGGTCCAATCAGAGAACCCATTGTATGATTTCGTTACAATCACTACACCCACTGACTCTGATTCTGAACTTCAATGGCACCAAGTTGTCCCGGTAATTAGTTTGAAGAAACTGTGGAGAAAAGGCCTCCTGGCACTCAAATATAGAAGTATAAAGATAGGTGCACACAAAAAACCTCATTGGGCCAGGTTTAGTTGTGACAGGGTATTGAATAGAGTCTGCTGCTGGACCTGTCCTTTCAGCTTTTACTCAAAAGGATTTTCCCACAAAACATTGTCGAAACATTGCAATGGGAACAATATGACGCAAGTGACACACCAACCAACTGAAGAGAGAAACAGATGTAATCACTTACCAGAAAAGATAAGGCTAAGGTCAAAGAGGTTGATTTTTATTATTTCTTTGATATTTTTGATAAATGGGTCATTGGGATTGTTGATCGAGTCGACATCCACACTGAATGCAGTGCTGGTAATCACATCCATGCTGTATGTGCCAAAGAAGCTGGCAGGAGAGAAATGCAATTGTTGCAATTGGTTAACAGCTGGAAGAAACTTTCTATTGTCATTTGACACTGAAGCACAACGTAGTATTCCATCAAATGTACAGTTTTGAAAGAAACCATTCAGCCCAGCTGATCATTTGTGCTCCATATAAACCATCTCCATCACATTTTCACCTAATTCCACAAACATCTTCTGTTCCTTTCTCCTTCATATGATCATCTAGCTTCCACTTCAATCTCTCTGCCGTTTGGGATAATAAATTTCACATTTTTAACACTAATTGACAAGCAAGTTTCCCACTGGAGTTATTGCTAACCACGCTGTCCTTAGCCTTGCTCTTCCTTGAAAATGAAAACATCTCCATGTTTACCCCTATGAAATGCCTGCAGAATGTTACAGTTTCCTGTTTACCCCTCAGCTGTTTCTTTTCGAAATGAAAGTGTTCCAGCTTTTCGCTGATTGTAAAAAACAGTTCCCAGCTGGAAATGGATTGAAACGAGAGGGCAGCTTCAAGGAAGCAAACGTAAAGTGAGAAAAAACATTATCGTTATCAATTGAGGCATTCTAAAGGGTATGGACGATTATTTAAATACAAACAATGTACGAGGTTAACCCGATAAAGGCAGAAGATCGGCAACAAGTTGAAATGCATAAGAGAGCCAGTGGTGACATGATGAACCGAATGGCCTTCTTCTGTATTCAGACAATTCCGTGAATAGAAAATCCTACAGCTGGTCTCATCTTTCTACGTTGTTAGCTAGTGGCTATATTAACTAAAGATTTGTTGACACCCCCAGTCTGCCTGTTCCTATGAAAACTGGGTAAATAACAACTTCATACTGCTTTCTCATGTGTATGATTCCAGCTTGCAGCCCACCATTCCCATGCATTGTTTGGCTGCATCATTTATGGGGGTGGGGGGGGTCTACAGTCCAGCAACCTTCCACCAGCTGTAATACAGGTATTGGGGTTGACACCATGGAGTGGTATTTATACAGAAGAGCCGAGGACTGAGGAGCAAGAGTAGGCCATTCAGCCCATTCTGTCATTCAGTAAAATCATGGCCGATCTGTTTGCCGTCACAACTCCAGCTTGGTATTGGCCTCATAACCTTTGATCATCTTGTCCAGCAAAAACCAAATGCAGTCTAGAATAAATTCAATGTCCAGTCCACACTGATTTTTGGGACACAGAATTTCACAGACTTACAACCCTGTGGGGAAAATATTCTTGTCATCCTTGGCTTAAAAGCGAAACCTCTTCTTCTTGGGGTGTCTCTCCTATTTCATTGTACATTCAAGAACCCCAATGTCAGTTTATTTATATATCCTCCATGTCGTTACGGATTTTATGTCTTATTCACATCCCATTGGTTGATTTTGACAGCAGCAGCAGAACCAGCAATTTCCCGGATAACAATGAATTGAGAAAGATGCTTTCCAATCCAACAAATTTTTATCCACATTAGTAAACAAGTAAAGGCAACCGCAAGACAAGCACTGAGGTTACTTGATTGACTTTTTTGAAGAGGTGACAAAGAAGATTATGAAGGCAGAGCAGAAGACATTGTCTATATGGACTTCATTAAAGCATTCGATAACGTTCCACATTGTAGACTGGTTAATAAGGTTACATCACATGGGATCCAGGGGGAGCGAGCCAATTAAATACAAAATTGGTTTGAAGGTAGGAGACAGAGGGTGGTTGTAGAGGGTTGCTTTCTGGATTGGAGTCCTGTTAGCGGCGGTGTGCCACAAGGATTGGTTCTGGTTCCACTGCTTTTCTTCGTTTACATAAATGATTTGGATCTGAATATAGCAGGCATGGATAGTTGCAGATGACAGTAAAATAGATGGCGTCTGGGACCTTGATCAGATGGGCCGATGAGCTGAGGAGTGGCAGATGGGTGTACAATTTCAACATTTAAAAGCCATTTGGATGGGTATCTGAATAGGACGGGTTTAGAGGGATATGGACCAAATGCTGGCAAATGGGACAAGGTCAGATTGGGATAAATGTGGGGTGTTGCATTTTGTTAAGACAGGACTTATACAGTTCATGGTAGGGTCTTGGGGAGTGTTGCTGAACAAAGAGACCTAAGGGTGCAGGTGCATAGTTTCTTGAAGGTGGAGTCACAGGTAGACAGGGTGGTCAAGGTGGTGTTTGACATGCTCACCTTCATTGGTCAGAACATTGAGTATAGGAGTTGCGATGTCATGTTTTAGCTGTACAGGACTTTGGTGAGGCCACTTTTAGAATACTATATACAATTCTAGTCACCCTGGATGTTGTTAAACATGAGAGTGCAGAAAAGATTTACAAGGATGTTGCTGGGAGAGGAGGGTTTGAGTTATAGGGAGAGGCTGAATAGGCTGAGGCTTTTCTCCCTGGAGTGTCAGAGGCTGAGGGGCGACCGTAAAGCAGTTTATAAAATCACGAGGAACATCGACAGGGTGATCAGCCAAGGTCTTTTCCCCAGGGGGGGAAAACCCAAAACTAGAGGGCACAGGTTTGAAGTGAGAGGGGAAAGATTTAAAAGGGACCTAAGAGCTAACTTTTCATGCAGAGGGTGGTGCGTGCATGGAATGAGTCGCCAGTGGAAGTGCTGGAGGCCGGTACAATTCCAACATTTAAAAGGCATCTCAATGGGTATATGAATCGGAAACGTTTACAGGGATATGGGCCAAATGTGAGCAAATGGGAGCAGGTCAGATTGGGATGTCTGGTTGGTACAAATGAGTTGGACCGAAGGGTCTGTTTCTGGACTGTCTGACTGTGAAATGTATTAGGATGATGAGTTGATCTCAGTTTGTGTAAATTGAAATATTTTGGGAAGGGTTTTGTTGGTGCCTTTTATCGTAGATTCCTGACCCAAAAAATGCTGGAATGGGGCATCTCAAGATGGATGCCAAGGTTGGGAATAAAGGAACACTGGTGGTAAAGGCAATTACACTTCTTCAGTCTTTCTACTGATAAAGTGACCCATATTCTAATGACAATCTCCTCTTCAATTCATCCTTCTCTTTCCCCTCCTTCTCCTGAGTTTGCCTCTGGATTCCTGGTGCCATTGGTTGTGTCCTCACAACGGTGACACAGTGGAGGATACTCAAATTTGGAGACATGCTCCTGTGTTGCCTGAAGGATTTCTCTGAACAGCCCAGTGACAGCGAGAGCATTGTTTTTGCAGTCATGTTTGCAGTCACACTCTGTTCCTGATGGCTGCATGACTCTCATTAGATTCCCACTGTGTTTGTGTGGGCAGGTCACAGAGCAGGCTAGGAATCATACGTACAGGGAATTCTTAGTCCCCGAGCAGCCATCCTCTGGTTGGTGTTGGAGGCGCATAGATAATGAGAATGTCAGATTGCCTCATCATGGCTGCTGCCAGGATAGCAGATAACCACTCACATAACGTACCACGGATGACACACGAACTTCAGATTGACGGAATGGTACACCTTGTGGCTCCTTTAACCCTCACCGTCCTCAGGTAGGACTAACACTGTTTCATAGCTGACAACAGCCCATAGCTCCCTGAACCATTAGGAATCTAGTTAACATGGCAAATCCAGGAGCCTGTCCATTCTGTTTCTCCCTTAAAATGAACACGATGCAATCCCCTTGCTTGAGATACAGGGCCTCTGTCACTTTTCACATGACCCTGTCGACAGTGTAATGGGAGACGTTGGATCTGTCTTCAGATGGGAATGGCCAACATCCAGCCACCTAGATATTTTATGCCACTGGCAGTGCCACCATCACGGTGGTGCTCATCCATGTTGAAAGAGACTTTTGAATCATTTTTAAAAAATAATTTACGTGAAGTGGCCATCACTGGCTGGGCTGGCACCCTCGATTGTCCACCCCTAGATCTCCTTAGAAACGTTGGTGTTGAGCTACCCTCTTGGACCACTGGAATACCCGTGTAGTAGGTAGACCCACAACCCAGTTAGGGAGTGAGGTTCACCGACAGTGAAGGAACAGCAATGTTTCTAAATCATGGCAGTGAGTGACTTGGACAGGAACTTTTTAGGTGGTGGTGTACCCATGTATCTGCTCCTCTCATTCTTCCAGATGGTAACAGTTGTGGGTTTGGAAGGTGTTGTCTCAGGAGCCTTGGTGAATTTCTGCAATACATCTTGTAAACTGTACACACTGCAGCTCCATTTGTCAGTACTTATGCATGCCTTTCCTGAACCCTGACCAGCATTGGGTGGCACACAGGTCGAGTCTAACGAGGTGCCCCACACCTTTTTATGCCTTCAGACACTAAGGTGCCCAATTTTGCAGCTTCTATTATCTTTTATATGTCGACATTATGTGAACTGAAATTAAATGCAGAGGGAAACAGTCATCCATGGTTAAGGGCTCCCTGCAGGGACTGCAACAAGACTCGAAGAGGGAGAAGGCAGCGGAAGTGTCTTGGAGAAGGAGAGATAATCCCACACCCTATCTCTGTCTTGAACTTTTCACGGGATTGTTATAGCACAGAAGAAAGCAATTTGGCTTGTTCTGTCCGTGCCATCTCTCCATAGGATTTAAACAGGGAAAACGTCAGCTCCCTCAGTCTATTTTCTTTCTCTTTAATTTGTTCATGGTATGAGTGAATCACTGGTGAGCTTGGCACTTATTGTTCATCTCCGAGTTGCCTAAAGGGCTGTTAAGAATGAACATGTCTGTAGGTCTGGAGTCACTTGTGGTCCCGACCACACAAGGGTGACAGATCTCTTTCTCCAAAGGACATTACAGAACTGGTTGGTTTTTACAACAATCGAGAGTTGCATTAGATCAGCTATTTTAATTCAGACTTTATTGAATTCAAATCTCACTGTCTGCTATGGTGGGATTCAAACATATGCCCAGAAAGTTTATCTGGGGTTCTGTATGACTTACCTCCTGAGATTACCACTCTGCCTCCACCTTGTTCATATTAGCTTTTTAAAATTGTGCCTGCTCTGTACATGGAATGGGTCTGACTGTAGTGGGGAAAATATAATTCAGAGCAACCGTCACAACAATTCATTAAGCAACAGCTCAAAGAGATGGTGGGAAATCTACAGATCAATTCATCCACTTGAGCAGATAGTGAGAAACTGTTACTGTCGGTGGAAAAGTCAAGACTCAGAGGGCACTGGTTAAAGGTGAATGGTAAAAAGTGAGTGATTAGGATCTGGAATGCACTGCCGAAGAGGGTGGGGGAGGCAGATTTGATAGTGGTTTGGTAAAACGGAATTGGACAGATATCTGAGACAGAAATATGCAGGGCAAAAGGGAAATGAGAATGAATTGCTTGCGTTCATGCTGTGCTCTGTGACAGGCTGGACGGTTAGTGAATATCACATAAATTCCATTTGGAAACCAGTGTGAATCAGAAAGTCATTGGGCCCAAAGGATTTATGGTACAGGAACAGAGATGTGTAATCTTAGAGACAAGAAACTCACTCTTTCATGTCAGCAGATTCATTCAGTTTTGCTTTTCTTTTTGCATCCTTCATAAGATTTTCTGCATAATGACTGATGATTGGACACATCTGGAAGGGAAAAGAAACAGAGCAAACAATGTGCAGCATGATAAAGTTCATTCATTTACAAGGACATCCAGATAGCTCTGTACCGCAGTGTCTCTATATTTAAATAATGCTGTTCTTTTCTTCCTACTAAAGTGGGCAACATCGTTTTCTGACGTTGCATTACATCTTTCAAAGACAGGATGGAGCGTAGGACTTTACAGACATGAATAGGATTCACTTTGTAGTTTCACTTAGATTTTAGTTCCTCCGAGTCTATCCTCATCTGCAAGTAAGTTTCAAACATATTAAAATTATTAATGGGCAATTTTGTATCTAATTTCTATGTAGTTCATCTTACATGTCAAGTACAAGTACAGGCAGAGATAAAACGTTCATTTCCTGGGGAATGGAGGTCCATTACCTCTTTCAGTCTCCCGCTGGTGAAAGTTGGTGAAAGGACACTTCGGATTCTCTTCCAGTGGTCATCTTGGACAACCAGGATGGATTCAGCAAATGATC